CAAGTTCTTGTCTGATTCACTGCCATGTATTGTGCTGTAGGCAGAATACGCGGATGTATGACTTCACCAAAACAAATAATTCAATCTAGGCTGATTATACAGCTTGGTTTCCATATGTGGACTGTTTGTACTGGGGAGAGAATGGCATGTTTTAAAATGTTGGCAACATTTGCAAACTACATCACACTCTTTTATTTCAAAGAACTGAGGTTAAAATTTTTTTCATTTTTTTTTCATTATATGGGCTCTTTAATGAAAGGCTTAAAAAGTTGATTCCAGGCCCAGATCCTACAGTGTGATGTTTTTATTGTTCATTATTGTTGTTTATTGTTCATAATTTTATGCCTGTCAGCTTATTTTAAGAAGAAAGAAGGAAGTCTGTGATTTGCATAACACACATCAAACTCTTCAAGCTAGGATTTCTAAAAAGGGACAAGCCTATGTGTGCGTGCATGCACACCACATTAGAACACCGGCTGACAGATACATAGATGCTTTCATTTAAAAAAATGGATCTGTACTTCATATAAAAAACAGAAGCACTCATCTAGTGTACAAACCTCAATTCCAAAAAAGGACAATATGGGAATGGCAAATAAAACCATTGACCCCTCAGAAGGCACTGCTTCAAAAATACGCTTTTGTGATGGGTGTCATCACACGGGCTCAGGAACACTTTGACAAACTGCGGTCAGAAAACACTGTTCGCCACTGCATCCACAAATGCAAGTTAAGGCAGCACTCTTCACAGATTAAGCCATATATCAACAACATCCAGAAACGCCGCCGACTTCTCTGGGCTCAAGCTAACCTGAAATGGACTGATGCATTTAAACTTTCAGACTGTTTATGGAAATAATGGACACTGTGGTCTCAAGGCCAAAGAAGAGTACCATTCAGATTGTTGCCAGCATAAAAGTTTAAAACCAGAGTCTCTCATGGTTTTGGGGGGAGCAATTTGGAGCAACATATGCTGCCTTTTAGATGCCGTCTTTTTCAGGGACATCCATCCTTATTTCCACTTCATAATGCTGATACACATTCTACACATGTTACAACAGCATGCCTGTGTAATCAGAGAGTGCAGGTACTAGACTGGCCTACCTGCAGTCCAGACATGTCTTACACTGAAAATTATGAAGTGCAAAATAAAACAAAGGCCCTGCAGAGCTAAGGACTTTTATAACGGAAGAAAGGAAAAAATTCAATTATAAAGCGTTGTTTAAAGGAAAGGTGATGTAATACAGTGCTTTTTTTGTAATATGTTACAGGCATCAAATTTGGAATGAGCATATATTTACAAAATAAACCAAGTTCATAAGGTAAATTACCAATTTGTGTTTTTGTATTGCTTTCAGTTTAATAAAGATCAAACAGATTTTAATTATGACTGCTTCCTGTTTTTATTAGCATTTCACATACTGTACCAGCTATGAAGTGAGGGATATGCCATACACTGGTGGAGACTGTGACCTGTACTGACCTCTGTTATTATGATGCAGCATAACATGCCTAAATCCACACAGGCTTTTAGTTCTCTGGTCTACCACAACTGTCTAATCATTATTTCCAAAGCAGTTCAACTTCGTGGAGCTGAGACTTCAAGTGGATTTCAGGATAATGACTCTAACAGAGCCCTCTGGAGGAGAACATAGGGGGTTAAGGGAATACAGAACAGTAAACCACAAGAGGCAGTCTGTAGTTAAGCGACAGAACATAAGAGAGAGTATGTTACTGCTAATAATATCACAACTGTGTATTGTGACCATGTTGTAACACACAACCTTGAGGATTCTATTGCTTGTATACAACAGTGTATCTTAAGTAAACAGAAGCAAAAAAACAAATATATGTTTTAATATAGGCAATTACTTCTGCCAAGAAAAGTAGCTCCAGCTGTTTACAGTAAAGTGGCCACTGCTGTTACATGATTCACCTCATCAGGAAATTGTTATGCCCTTTATAAGCTGAATAACATGCGTTACAAATGAACGACATTCAATGGTGTGTGTTAAAGGGTTCATAACTATTTTCTTGTATTTAATATTCTCCCTGAGGTCCACTTATGACATTTTTATTTACCAAAAACAATCAGAATTCAGTTTTACATTATCATTTTCCAACCTTTATTATCTCTTACAATTAAACAGACTGTTTTTCTTACTGTGCCTTTAAGACTGATATATGTAAATGCTCTCCATTCTGATTTGCTGTCCTGTGTTGTGCCTCATTCAAAACACTGAGCTGAAACACTCCTTATAACTTCAGCATGAATGGGTGGAGCTAAACCGTTGTTGGTGGATATCTGTACAGTCATATGTAAAAATTTGGGCACCCCTAGTTTACATGTTCTGTTAAAAAAATAAGTTTACACTTCCTCCACAGAGAACACATTTGAATATTTTGGAACAAAAAACCATAGCTTTTGCAAAAGTTATGGCAAATTTAATATTGTATGTAAACACACTTAAAAAAACTAGACCCCGTCCTTTGAAGGATGCAGCCCCTGAATTGGGACACAGCTTATATTTAAATATTTTATTTAAAAAAATGAGGAATATTTGGTTTTCCATAACATAGGTTCTTCTTTAAGAGAATGGTTTGTGTTTAGTAAACAATATTTCAGGCACCTCTGCAGATTTACGAGCCACAATGGGACGCTGTTAGACACCAATGGAGGGGCAAAAGAAGGAAGAAGATTGTAATCTCATGGACGAACAGCACCTTCCTACAGAGAACATCATCATCTATCACTCAGAGGCTACATATAGAAGGTGTGTAGGTAGAAGTTTGAAAAATTCTGGTGTAACAGAGTTTTAAGAAACAGGGAGTGCAAACTAGTATTAGACTTGTATTAGACCAAATTCTTTTACTGATGTACTGACGTCACTCAGAATGCAACAAGCTGCCCATGCCAAATACATTCTTATATTAAAATAAGAGGGTAAAACAGTTAAAGGGGAATCCCACCTACTTTTACAATTTCTGCAAAAAACTCTGTAAACAGAGTCACTTAGAGTTGTTTGGTCTGAAATGCTTCAGAATTGTTCACAGTGCTGGTGATAGGAACCAGACGTCTGAAACACTTAATATCACAACATTGAAATGGTCATGGAAACACTGCCTAATATTCTTACAGTAACTGAGATTTTGAGGTTTTGTTTGCTTATAGACTTCTGGTTTCTGTCATAAAGATACCCAAGCCGGGAAGTTTCACTACAGTGCACCAGTTCATATCAAACCACTCTGAATGACTCTGTTTACAACTCAACGGTTGCAGAAATTTTGAAAATTCGGGGGAATCACCCTTAAAAACGTTGGCATTATTTTCTTTTTCCACCCGTATTCACACAAACCCCGCCACTGCGCTAGGATTGGCTACGTGATCATTCTCATAAGCAGTCCGCCGTCTCGACCAATCCGAACGCAGGAGACGGGGCTGACTTGTTTGAATACGGGTGGGGGAAAAAAAACGGAAAGAGGCGTGGTAACCTAGCAACGGCATCTCGCGCCGGGTCGGAATACGAGTGGAGAAAGAAAAGTCAGTACTCACCAACAAGCAAAAAAAAGATTTACACCCGTCAACCTAAATGTGAGCTCTGTAAGGATAACACTAGGCTACTACTGAACAACGGATTTAACGTGTTGTTGAAAAGTATTCGTTTTACTATCGATTAAATTCGTTTTTAAAGGGGAACTCCACCAAATGTTCAAATTTTCTTGATAATTAAATTGTTAACATGTAAACAAGGTCATCCAGAGTGGTTTGATGTAAAACGCTTATTTCGTGATAGAGAAACTTACCAGTCAGTCAGAGTGGTGGTGACCGGAACCAAAATCTGAAGAGTTTAATTCCTCTAAAAGCTCCCTTTAATTACACAAAAAGTTTTTGAATGCGCTGTCTGATGTCTGAGACTTTGTCTTACGATATAGTTTTGTGATCATGTTTTGGCCTAAAACGTCTTGTTAATCCATTTGAATGCAGTCATGGTGGAGGGATACAGGTTATAAGGCAAAATAGACCCACAAAAGTTTTTTTTGTTTGTTTGTTTGTTTGTTTGTTTTTATTTTGATTTTCCACTATTTTACCACAACAAACGCTGCATCAAGACTAGAGGATACGTGTAGGTTAACGGTTCTGTATAGTAAATAAAATTACTATAAAATGATAAAATAGTGAATAGTAAAATAAAAATGGCTGGTTTTGCAGGCACGGCAACATCACCACTGTGAAGAAATCACAGTCTGTAAATTTCTCTAGCCACTTTACATCAAACCACTCTGAATGTCTTGTTTACATCGCAACGATGGAATTATGAAAACTTTTTGAAAAATCGGTGGATTCCCCTTTAACCACCACGGTTCGTCCTGTCAGGGTCCCGTCTGAGAGCTGATTTGCTTAACATGGATTTGGTTCCTTACAATCCGTAGAGAAAAGCTAGACACAGCTATTTACATACCTGCGTGTTGGAAGCGATGCAGCTCCCGGTATCCAGTCGATACCTGGTAAAGCTGACTGACTAAAACTCGAATTTAGCAACCAAATTTTTGGAATTAAACCTGTGTTTCTTAATCACGCAGTGAAATATAAATATTTTGCCATATTAAATCATTAAAATACTCATGGAAATATCTTGAGTGTTTATCCCACTTGTAGTCATGACTTAACCAAACGCCTCAGAAAACATGAGGCTTAAGTTGCCTGGCTGGCTCCTGTTTTTACTTCAGTTTTCACTTAATTCCACCTTAAATTATGCAGTAGGTACACTCTGGCGTCTGAACTGTTTAAGGTGGAGCGGAAAAGTCGAATAAGAGGCTGGCGAGCACGCAGTTAACGTAGTTGTAGCGGTGGTTGTAGAAGTTAGCTAGCAACGCTAATCTCTCTGGTAGTAGCAGAAGTGGCCGTCCCTGTAACGCTATTGGCTGCCGGCTGTGTTGTCGCCGAATCTGATTGGTCGGTGAGATCGCATCGCAGCGCTTGTACTCGTAGAGGTGGAGAGTGAGGGAGGAGAGCGGAGCCAGCAGAGCAGAGAGAGCAGAGATACTCGCTCCCGTTATCACCTGAGGACAAGTTCAGCTGCTTCTCCCACATCTTCATCTTCAGCACATCTTCTCCCCGCGTCGCTATGGACTGTCGAAAAGTAAGGAGCGTGTTTTTTTTCTCAAAGAAAAGAATAGAAAACTTTCCTCGGCTGCGTTAGTGTGGCTTGTGCTTCTGAGCTCGAACTATGAATTGTACGTCAAGTTTCTATATTACGTTGATTTATTGAGAGTCACTGCGAATGAAGCACTCTGACTTGAAGTGAAGTATATGAATGCCAGTGTAAGAATAATAGTAGCAAAAATGATGATTATGTGTATAAAGACACCTGCAGATGCTGAGCCGTTACATAATACTGAGTGAAGAGCTGGCTTTGTGTAATATGTGCTCCATTGGGATGACTGTGACTTTGATTACTGTGAAAATGCTGAAGTGGAAAGTAGAGCATCACTTCTTCAGAACTTGGTTCTTGTTGGATTTTTCTCACACCTACACTCTTAAAAAGATGTTCTTTAAAGGATCTTCAGTAAAGGGATTGGTTCTGTTTTGAACCATGAATTCTATATAGAACAATTTCAGGCTTAAATGGTTCTTTGCAGGGTGAAATGGTTCCTCAGATTGATGGAGAATGTATTTGTGTATGGTTCTATATTTTTTGTTCTAGCCATTTTGAAAATGTTTCTATGTAGCACCAAAAAGGGTTCTTCTACTGTTACAATGTCAAGCTTGTAAAAAGAGAAGAACCCTTTTTGGTGCTATATAGAACCATTTTCATAAAAGTTGTACATAGAACCGTATACAGCACGTTCCCTATCAGTCTGAAGAACAGTTTCACCATGCAAAAAAAAAAACATTTAAGCATGAAAGAACCATTTAAACATGAAATGGTTCTATATAGCACTCATGGTTCTAAATAGAACCATTCCCTTTACTAAAGAACTTGGTTCTTGTTTGATTGTTCTCATATTTACACTCTTAAAAAAGATGTTCTTTAAGGGTGCTTTGGTAAAGGTAGAGGTTCTGTTTAGAACCATGAGTTCTATATAGAACTATTTTATGCTTAAATATTTCTTTGCATGGTGAAATGGTTCTTCAGACTGATGGAGAATGTGTTGTGTATGGCTCCACATTATAGAGGCTTTTTGAAAATGTTTCTATATAGCACCAAAAAGGGTTCTTCTACTGTTACAACGTCAAGCATGTAACAAGAGAAGAACCCTTTTTGGTGCTATGTAGAACCATTTACAAAAAAAATCTATATCAAATCATGTACAACACCTTCCCCATCAATCTGAAGAACAATTTCACCATGCAAAGAACCATTTAAGCATGAAATGGTTCTATATAGAACTCATGGTTCTAAATAGAACCATTCCCTCTACCAAGGAACGCTTTTTTAAGAGTGTATGATGCTTCATAGACCATTGTGGGAGAGTATATTAGATGTGAGAGGGGATATTATCATATGTCATTTAACAGTATGTATTACTAATAAATTCTGACTGATAAGTGAATTGAACTGTAATGTTCTTTCAGTGAGATATCGGTGGTTTGCTGACTCCAGCCGGCTAAAACTGTTGACATAGACGCTCTTCTGACTGGATTGAATTCAGTGTTGTTTGTATAGCGCATTACAGCTTTATGAAAACTCTAATGATCAAGCTGGAAAAAACTCCCAGAGGAAGAAAAGCTGAGAGGAACCAACTTTCAAAGGGGAACCACCTTCTACCGACTGATACTGGATGGCAGAATGTATTTCTGTTTTTTCTTGACCCCTGAGAGATCACGCCTCCATTATCTGTCGTTTATCGTGCATGGGCCCCAAAGACGGTCAGGAACAAGTGAACTCATGTTCTAATGTTCTTTCCTTTTGGATGAGGAAAGAAAACTCCAACCCATTTGCGTATGGAAACAGCTGGAGTCTTCCTGTCTGAAAAAGGTGGATTTGAATTATAATGGCTGATATATGTTCTTCATTGGTAAACTGACCAGGGATTTGTGGTTGCAGGGTTGAGAAGGTTCAGGATGAGCTGAGGTCTGGTGTGTGGAGGCACGCTGGAAACCACATTTTCTCAGAAGAGTCGCCTTGGCTGGCATGACTGCTACTGCTGCTTAATCGCCTTTGTTCATCTGTCACAATGTTTGGTAGAAATGGAACAAAACTCCCCCAAACTGTCGACTGACAGAACCGTCGTCCAGGTCCACCGACACAAAGCGTGCGGAGCTTTCAAAGAAGCTTCTTTGTTCTCTTTGTTTAGTGCTCTCCAGTGGCAGGAACACAAGCAGTCAGCGATGTTACACAAGGCGGCCTCTGCGTGGGTTCTGACTTGAGTGTTTGTAGGAGGGCGCAGAACTTTCCAGAAACAGCAATTATCTGTGTATAATCCGAAGACGTGCCTTGTGACTGATGAGACAGATGGCCATCTGCATGTTCCAAACCGATGGGCTGCCACTTCTAATGACACACGCTCACAAGTGGAGTTCACGCAAGATCTTTCTTGATTGATGATTAGTCTCGGTTCCAGTGGTCAGACGGTTCTAGATAGGCTGATTGCTGTGCGAATTTCTTTGCCCAACTGTTTGTTATGAATGAGTAAGCCGCTGTGTTGGGCATCTCAAAATGAAAAAAGGTAACACTTTACTGAAGGGCAGCATTCATAAGGCTGCATAAGCCTTTCATGACATCTGACATAAACCTACATAAGCTTTCATAAGGCTTATTTCAACAAGTGTCAGTTGGAGTGAGCTTCTATAAATGTCTGTATAGGATTATGTCAGCTGTCATGAAAGGCTTATGTAGGTGTCATGCAGCCTTATGAATGCTGGCCTTCAGTAAAGTGTTACCTGTAAAAACATTATGAAGTACATTTGCTTTATGCACATTGGCTATATTGATGTTGGCCCGTCATTGCCACTTGAAAGGCCTTAGAGAAGAAAGAACACAGCAGGCCCACGAGACCTCGTTTGTTGTATGATAGATCAGTGTTTATCCCTCCATAACAGCAGCAGAGCCTCTGAGGAGTGCCGTGCTTCCTTCTCGCTCAGCTGGTTCCTCGCAAAGTTCGTCTGAGAAGCTCAGGCTACGCACATGCCAGGTCCCCTAACAGTGGCACACCCCCAGCGGGCAAGCCAAATTAGATGAGCTGTCGGAAACTTGAGCCTCGGCAGGGACCGATGACAAGGCCTACCCCGCTGGGAAGGCAGAAGAAAAGGTTCATAGAAGGCCATCAGGGAGGAAGTGTGATTTTAGCATCCTTGCTGGCTCATTAGAGGAGCTAAATCTAAAGGGATTTCGTGGAATTTCATGGTCTGTGGAAAAGTATTGCAATATTTGTTGGTTATACTGTGACATCAGGTTCATCACTGAAGAAAGTACGCTATTGATTTTATTAGTAATCGAGCAATCTAAAGATTATTCTGACGATTAATCGAGTAAACTGGTGGAAACTAGAAAGCATTTTTTATCTTTTATAAAATGTATAGTCATATAAAAACACTAAGTGGCAAACATACATGTAAACGAATGTGTCCAACTGGCTTCTTACTGTAAAAGAGATCAGTAGGAAGATTTAGGTAAATGTTAATCATTCATTCAATCATAACAGCCCTACACTCAAATGCTATAATGTTAAATCTATGAAAATTATTGAAATTATTAAATGACTAGTGCTGCACCGTCAGGTGGTGAATTTCACTAAACACCAAGTAATGAGATTTCACCCCAAATGTCATCTTCATTTCAGCTTTCGCTGTTTGAATGTTCACACCAGATGGGTTAGCAAGAGATGACATACTGTTGTGCCAGAAAGCAGGCTTCTAAACTGTCATGTGACAGATTTCATTCCTGTTTACACTCATAACCACTGTGCTCGTCCTCATGCGTTGTTACTACCTTTAGGAGGGGTGCAGTCAGCCACAGGACGAAGATATCATGGACATCCCACTCGATGACCCGGCCGCTAACAAGGCTGCTACTAAGATTCAAGCTGGCTTTCGGGGCCACATGACCAGGAAGAAGATGAAGGACGACAAGCCCAGAGAAGAGGTGAGCACCACTGTTGGAGACTCAGTAGAACAACAGTAACCACTTTGCAAGGTTTTGAAACACTTGGCTTACATCTATGGAACAGTTGATATATATCGGATTGGCTGATATTTAGGTCCCATGTAGTTATCAGGATCATTAAAAATCCCACAGATAAAGCCAGAGCACATTTACAGTATTTGGCACATTACTCTGCCAAACTCTACAGTGAGAGGTAAGTAAAGGTAGTCTTGCCCAGGGACTCATATTGGTTTAGCATGTTGTGGTTACCTGGGCAGGGAATCAAACCCCAGTCTCCCACATGGATGGTGATAGTGTTGTCTGCTAATTTAGTGATGTGAGGAAAACAGTGAGGAAATGTTTATAGAGAGCTACCAAACTGACTGCTTTCATCTGCTCTCTTCTATTGTACCAATACAAGCTGAACTGGTAAATTTGAACACAAAACCATATCATGGCTAAAATGACAAAAACCATGCAAAATGCATCCAAACGTTTCTAACACAACAATGCTTTCGATCAAGAGAACTGATGAAAAAACAATGAGAAAAATAAGTATTAATTAACAGAAATTATATGTATTATTTATATTATTTAAGACTAGAGCCCAACTGATGTATCAGTTGGCCACTAATATTGGCCTGCTGATGCATCTGTGAAAAATGCCACCGATAATGAACTGTATTAATATTAGTATTTTTTTTTTGTTGCTGTTGTTGCACTGCTGGGATTTAAACTCACAATCTCCCAACAAAATCTTAGATGATGGTGCCAATAGGACCCCCCTCCTTGTTTAACTGGATCGTAGCAATATAAGCTGAGCTGTTAAGTGTGAACACAAAACGATGTCATGATTAAAATGACAATAATATGCAAAATGTGTCCAAACCTCACATTTAGCATGAGCATAACATATAATAACTTGCAGAAAACTTTATGATCAAAACTGCTTAAGAAATATGAAAAACAAGCGATAAATAACACCAACACCAATAAAACTGGGAATATATATATATATATATATATATATATATATATACCCATATATATATAAATTTAAGATTTTGTGCTGTTTATTTGATTTCTTTTTTTTTTTATCATTTATGTGATTTTAAGACAGTTGAGAACAGCCAATCACATTTGACAATTCACAAATAACAATCAGTAAATCACTGTTTAATTAAAACTGTGTGTACATCAGTTCCACACAATGGAATGTGTTACATCAACTTATGTAAGTTAAATTAAGCACTTTAACATAGTAATTATGATGATGTAACATATTTCATTCATGTTGAGCCAATGTGCACATTCAAATGATGTAAATTTAAAGCAACGTGTAAGCAGCTTTTTTTCAATGATTGAAGTCTGTAAAATATTTGACTATTTTAAATGGTATCAGCTTATATACTGGTTATCTGAATTTTTAGCACCTTAAAATCTGTATGAGTGACAAATGGAACTTCCCTTCTAAGTCTGCACTCCATGTGCTCACAAACAAGAACTTGAAACCTGACTATGGTAATTATTTGCCTCACCAAACCTGTTTCTTCTCTGTTCTATATCACGGTTTTTTGAGTACCTCTACTTTTGATGCTGGCCTTTCGAATGGAACTTTCCATGACTAATTGGCAAATTACATTGCATCTAGCTTACTTCTTGAAAACAACATCCTGCCTAGAACTTGTTTGCTGTTTTCAAACACCTCTGTCCTCGTGGGAATCAGCTGTCCACTGATTATTGACTCGTACACACCTGTGTCCCTAAAGTCCCTTGGGGTTCGTGTTTTTGACTAGAAAGTCAACAAGAAAGTAAAGCTACTAGCCCTAACCTGAGTATTAACACAGCTGAATTTAGATTAAGCAAAATGTGTTGCAGTTATAATACGGAAAAGTTTCATGTGATCTCATGACATGCTTCCATATTATGTAACAAAGAATATTTAAAAAAAACATCATAAATGTCATAAATGTAATAGTAGCTTTAGCTTTTTTTTAACCTTTTTTATATCTTCTGCTTCTGTGGTTTCATGATTGCAGGAACTATCTGGAAATTCTGGAACCGTTTTCACACAAATGAGATCATATTCTCTAAACAGCTGACTCACACCCCCAAACATGTTTTCATCCTGTAAGGCTTGGCTTCCAACAGAAGCACGCTTGTCCAGTAGGCAATAGAAGATGCCCAGAGTGCTTTATACAACTTTCAGAAGCAAACAGTCAACCCAAGCAGTACAGTGCAGCTGTAGAAATGCTCACTGTTACAAACTAATATATAATATTCCTCATGAAACATTTCTTAAACAACAAGGGTAAATAACGTGTGATAAGGTATGATCCAGTCCGAGTGAACTTAAATGAACACCGTGGGTATTAAGACTACATTGACTCAGTAGATGTTAATGCATCATTATGGACTGTTTCCTGAACATGGATTAAGTTTAGTCTTTATTGCAATGCCACTGATGATTCACCACTGAAAATCCTTTTTAGTCTACACTTAAAGTTAACCTGGCTCTGAGAAGCTGGCTCTGTAGGTGTTAGTTCAACACTGGACATTTTGCAATGGAATTTCTTTAATTATAGGCTGAGAAGAAGCTTTACAACGTCCTCTAGCATCACTTATACGGACGTATGGAAAAGTATAGGCACCCCTGATCAAATGACGTTTTGTTGATTTTTTTCAGAGAACACACTTTTTCACATGTTTATTGCACAATTGCTGCTTATTTGCTATTTTATTTAACATAAAAAATATAATAGAAAATCTGCATACAAAAGACAGATTTGGCAGATTTTATATTTTACATTTTTTGTCTTTTTTTTTTTCTCCATATCTGAAAACTAAGTAAATAAATAGACACTGTGCATTAAAATGAGCAGAAATCATCAAAAGTCTCATACCCCAGTAACATTGATATGATACATCAGTATTATTGCAGCATAAAACTACATTTCATGGTAAGATTAATTACATTTAAAATGTACTAATTTTATCTGCAAATTAGATGGTATGAAAGACAACACCCTGCTGTTAACTCAATAGCCCATTAAATGTCATTTCCAATGTTTTCTTACAGTGTTTTAATATTTAGCTTAAATTTCAGTAGCTTGGAGGAAAATGAGTTGTTTACAGATCGATGATCATTGCTGCTCTCTTAGAGATCTACCTTCACTACATACCATCCAACACACCTGATCCAGCCAATCAGTGACTTCTGAAGACAGTCATCAGGTGTTGTGGATTAGTGTTGGAGCCAAACCCTGGAGGGGGTATATCTCCAGGGGCAGGGCTGGTGATTTAGAGTAAGGGGTGCAATAACAGTCCTAGACATTTGCATTAGATTCTCTTGAGGAGCAGATTGTGAACATTCAAACGATTTCAATGTTTTGCAAAATTGGTTTATGGTTTACGATACCACTTTTTCAGTAGTGAAACTGATACAGATCCGACATGTTTTCTTTAAAAACAACTCAGCTTTAAAATGAGCTGTTTTTTAATTGAAGCGCTTTACTAAAAGTAGTACATCATGCTTAAACACTTCCCCACAGGATTCATCCTTTTTCACCTTCCGATGTACAATCCAGCATTTTCTGTGGATATTAGCCAGATACTGATACTCATTGTTACCAATATTCCATCTCTAGTCTTCATTATGGCTTCACAGTATATCATTTATTACGTGTTATTCAGACATCAGTCTTTGTGATGCCAGTACTACAGAAGTGTACAATATGCATAAAAGCCCTCTAACCAGTCATTGATTGTTTTATTATGTGCTGTGAGCATCTTAACCAATCACAGATGTTCTTTAGGTGTTAAGATATATCAGGGCATTTACATTGTCCAACAAACAAACACTTTGGTCAAAAACAACACAGACCAATTATTAACCACATCATGTGTGTGACAATATAATTGCAATGTAGCACATTGTCACTGTCAGAAGAAAACCTCATATCTCCAAAAAAGTAACTTTAAACGTTCTTAACTTTCTAAAATGGAAGTTATTGTGTCATGATTTATTTCTAAGTCATTTTGTATAATTTCTATTAGTCCGTTTGTCATGAAATTTTGATGCAGTTGACACAGTGAAGGCCAGCTGGCATTTTTAAATCATATAAAACGACCAGCAGAAATACAGATAGAAGGAAGGTTTTGTTCCAACTGCAGTAATTATGATATACTCTGCCTTAATTCCACACCTTGTCCTAGTGTGCTAGACTGATAGTGAGCGTGGGCAAAATTGGAAACTCTTTTTCTGACCGTTTTGTTTTTCAAATATTATAATATTCATCCTGAGAAACATAAAATATCGCAATGTGACCATTCAGCCTAAGTTTATATTGGTGTCAATTAAAAATGTAGACAACTCTAAGAAAACTGTGTTGAAGCACTTAGAAAACTAACATTTGTCACATTTTCACACTTTGAAAATGAGTTGCAGTCCATAATGTCACCTCATTTACACTTGCGTAGTTTTCTCTCTGAGACCTTCAGAATGGTTTGCTGTTGGATTATTGAGGCAGTGCAGTGTTCATTTGATTACAGTATTCTACATTAGCTTTGGTACTGAAGGTGCTCTATGGCTGAACCACACTGAGGCTTTCTTCTCATTTGCTTCTGATGGCTCCATTCGCGGTGAGCGCAGAGCTGCCGGAAAAAAGTTTGTCTGTGACACAGATTTCTGTCAGAGGGGCATTTGGGATTCTATAGGAAGGGCTTTAATAAAACTCTGTAGAGAATATTCTGCCTGGGATCAATATCTCCCCCATGGACCTCACTGTGGCTGAAACGGTATCCTAGCAATGCTGCCTTAATTACTTGTTGCTAGGCAATAATACAGATGGTACCCAGTTAATGTCATGGGAGCAGCATCTCACCCATTTTATTTATGCACTGTAAATACGTACAATGCAGCTTTGCCTTAACTCAGTATATTTTAGATGTATTTTATGTGTTATTTGCCCTATATTAACACAGTCTTTGCTAACAGAGTTAAAGTCTTAGTTCTTGTATTTTTATACTGAAGATGCTTATAATGCTCCAAGACACCTTTGCTTTAAAGCAATTTATTGAATATTAGTTATGTTCCATCACAAATATCAGAAATTTAACCCTTATTTGGAATGGATTTTGTTTTATTATGTTGTTTTATTTACCCATGCTTAGTGTTTATAATATTCCAGTGTGCCTATGCTTTAATGCAATTTATTACATATACAGTATGGTGCAAAAATCAGAGACCCCCCTCTACATTTATTCAATTTCCAGTCAAAAAGACCATTAAGTACAAGTTGTTCATTAAAGATATTTTAGATTAGATTAGATAAGGATAAAGAAGGAGAAGGTCAAAAATGATTCCTACAGAGAAAATAGGGCTTCCAACAACTGTGCAAGACCTGGTAGACCACCAGAAGTGTCACCATGAAATAAACAGTATTTACAGTGTTTATCTTTGAGAGAGAAAATCAAGCTCCACTGTTGCTACAGATCTGAAAAAAAACTGTCCATCCTTCCACTGAGAGAAAACAACTCAACACTATGAGTCTGAAAGGATGTGGAGCTGTCAACAAGCTGTTACTGAGAACAGACAGACAAAAAAGAACATCTGTGAAACAAACAAAGAAGCTGCAGGTGTTCTAAGAACACTGGATTGGCCACCCCAGAGTCCAGACCTCAACATCACTGAATGTGTCTGGGATTATTTGGAGTTTAAGAAGCAGAAAATGCAACCAATTTCTAAGACTGAACTTTGGATTTGTGGAAAAATATCCCTGCAGATTTCTTTGAAAAACCGAAAGCAAGTTTCCTGAAAAGAATGGAAGCTGTAATAAAGGCAAAGTGTGGAAATACTGAAAATTTGAAATTATATTTGGTTGTTGACACTTCTGTTTAATTTTCTGTTTAGATGTTTTCTGTATTTTCCTGACAGTACAACTTAACATCCAGTTTGACTAGAAATACCAATATCAAAAGGCCAGTACTGCATATTCCAGTGTAGATACCTCCAGCACAGTCCAGAGGTTAGATATAATATCTTGCTGCAATGTAAACAAGTGTACAAATTAAGTGAATAAGATTGTATGTATCTGGCTATTCTTGCTAGCACTCCCTATGACGTTATGTATAAAACTGGTTCAAAAAAGGTGCAAAATTCTCAGTTCTACCTCTACTGTACCGCAAGTCACTTCTGTTAGAGCAGGGGTCGGCAGCATGCCGGTCTTTGACTGTCCTGTTGCAGCTCCAGCAGAATTAGATTTGTAGGTAAAAATAAAATAATCCTCTTTGCAGTAAAATAAAGCTCTGCTGATCATTCTAACACAGTTCTAACAATAAATGGTCTGAAACGCTGGAGTTAATTTAGCCTATAACTACTAATGCACCAACCTTTAACCCTGAAGGTTGGCGCGCAGACTGCTGGTCACCATAGCAACCCAGACAAGAATCTCGCCTAGCTAGTAGCTAACGAAATGACAAAGAGAAAGACGAGCATCGATAATTTGGAGATGAATAGACTTATTGGCATTTATAATCACTCCATCTGGTTTCCGAATACGTGTAATCTGCAACGAGGAAACTGTCAACCATTCAGAAGTCGCGAAACTTAAGTCAGCTGTTCGCCAGCCTCTTGTTCAAATTTTCCTGCTCCACCTTAAATGCATATGCAAATGCTGCATCATTTAAGGTGGAACAGGAAAATTCGAATGAGAAGCTGGTGAATGAGAATCTGACTGTAGCCTCATAAAAAAACGAACGTTGAGAGACATTTTACAAGAAACTGTTCTACTTTTGTGGAAAAGTTTCCTGCTGGAGATGCAAGAAAAGCGGCTATAGCTGTGCTAAAGCTTAAAGCAGAGCAGAGTAAGTCTGCGTTTTCATTTATATTTTTTTTAGTCTATATAGGACATTAGCTAGCACATATTAAGACATATTTTCAGCCAACATGGTAAACCGTTACTTCAATTAAATCATAAAATGTTGTGGCTCCCAAGGTGGATTGATTTTTGTTGAAAGGACAAAATGGCTCCTCTTAACATTTGGATTGCGACCCCTGTGTTAGAGTATATTTACATCATATTTACTCAGTTATGGTCTGATGTGTGGGATATTTGTCTGCTTGAATATAACATTGCTGTTGTAACAATATTTGTTTTTCTGAAATGGTCATTTTATAAAAGAAGGAAGAAGTATTCTTAACCTTTCATGTATTTGTATCCGTACTTTATTCCAGGTACTAGGGGACCATTTCTGTTGGTCCAATCACAATGAAATGTTCACATAATGTAAAGAACAGCCAGCGTTCTCTGATTTGATATGGCAGCACAATATAGTAACATAAAAAATTAAAGTGTATGTATTTACTTTGCTCATTTAGAGCTTTTCTTTGCATGATTTTATGCAAGAATTCACACATTTTATGGTCCTGTCTCTGTTGCAGAAACAAAGAGAGCAGAAGTAGCTTCAGAGGACGTCCCGCCGCCGCCGCCGCCACAGCCCTGACGGTTTTACTTTCCCTGAGCATGGCGGAGCACACACATCACTGCAATAACCAGAGGTCTTTTGCCGAAGAGAAACCTTCAGTGTATGATATATACAAGTGTAAACTTAGAAGAAAAAAAACTAGGTCCGGAGTCTGCCCTCAGATCAACGGCCTTTCACTCCTCCTCTGCTTCCGATAAAGTCTGGACGTTAGTCTGTGGCACACAATAGCCTCTCAGCATGTTATATAGCTTCTGTGGAAAGTCAGTTTCATTTTCTTTTTTTTTTTAGACAATCAAATGATTATTTGTAGTGAAAGGCATGTTCTCTGTGGCTACTAGCAGAACAAGCCAAAAAGTGAGGGAATTTGTTGATTCGTTTTTCTTTTTTTTGTGCTCACTTCCCTGGCTGTATTCTTACAATATGGAAGTATGCATTTATTACAAGACAGGCCATTGCCTTTTCTAGTGTGACTTTGTTTCTGCCTGTTTAATAAAGCAAAATGGGTTGGATTCAGTGTTTTTAGGTGTTCTTTGTTCGAAAGTTCATTGGACCACTCTAATTTAAGAGCGTGTCGTTTTGGTAGCTGGGTGAATCATTTGGGGAAAGTATCTAATTACATTACATTATGATTTAAATTGTGATCATGAGTATAAATTAATGTCGAGGCCTGTTTTTTGTCAAAAAAGACTAGCATATCAACTTTTTCTGGCTTAAGGTTTGAACGCTGAACATGCTGCACCAGACTGCCAGTTAGTTGTGGTTGTGATGTCATATCACATGTTTTCGGTGGCTTCTGATTGATCTGACTCATGTACAGGTGGTTTTCACATCGTGATTTCAATTAAAAAAAAGATTAATCATTCAGTCCTACTGGACTACAAGGACATTGAATTAGTCAGTATTTTCAGATTTGCTCAGATTATTTTTGTCTATATTGGAGATGCACAAAGAAATCTGCAGCTTTCCAAAAAATCTTACATCCAGAGCTGTTTTTAGATGCATTTTGAGTCAAGAAACACAAGCATTTTCTATCGTCAAAAAAACATCCACATTGGCAAAATTATCCTCAGAAACTATGACTATAACTCATTTCTTGACAGAATACCTCAGTTTAGATTGTGTTACTAATAGGCCCTACAATCATGAAATTTTAGCTGAGGATCAATTGCCATATTAAATAATTGCAATTGTCTCTTGCAATTAATTGTCTCTTTTCCTAGGTGTCGATACTTAGTAGCTCCCGCTTGAAGACAGCTTGAGCTCAAGTAAACAAACATTAGGCCCCATCAAAATTCAGCATTAACATGCGTCCTGGGTGAGCTAATCATAAGTGGACAGCGTTAAGTATAGGAGTAAACAGGGTACAGTGCGTCTTGGAGACACATTGTGATCTGATCACTCAAACCACCTCTGGAGGTGGTCAGGGACGCATATGATCACATAACAATTACAGTGTGAACAGCGGCAAAAGACCACCTTAACCAGCTGTGTCGTCAGAGCACAGACGAAAGCTGCTGCGTAGCTTCATTTTTCGCCTTCTCCATTTTTGTTTTTTGCAGAATAGTATTGTAAAAACAACTGTTGCAGTAGATTGGTGTGTTTGTTTTTGTCGTGTAACTGACGTTTTTAGAAATAAGTGTCTGATTAATAGACTAAGTAGAAAGTTCAGTGATTTATCATTGCTAGCTAGTTAACATATGTAGCCTAGACCAGTAGCTACTGCAGCACAGCTTAAGTTCCTCTAAGGGACTTGTCAATAACATTTTCATTGTCGTATTTGCCCTATTGCCATATTTGACCTCTGAAACAAAATAAAAGTCCAGAAATATACAATCATAGAGAGTCCTGCTGGTAGGGAAGTAAACATATGATACTGAAAATTTTGAATTTGATGGCCAGGGGTTTAAAAACATGAGAAAAAAGTTAAAAACTAAGGCACTTTTCATTGCGTTAAAAAGCATTTATTACAATATGGCTTTATTACACATTTCAGCTTGAGCTTTTCAAAATAAAAGTCATTTGAAATGAAAAAACAGTCAGAATTTAGGTCTTTCAGCGACTAAGCTGTTCACTACAATTGCTCCTCAGGTTGAAAGGAATATTTAACCCTATTCCAGAAGGCTTGTCCAACCTTGCAAAAGTAGAAAGAGCGTAAAGAGAAATGGGCGGAGCTTAGATAGGTCCAGTGTAAGCTACTTGTAATAATCGTGTGTTCCATATTGCTTTGCTAATGTCAGTAAAGAGGCCACCACAATAACGCAAATCGTACAAAGAGAGCAGACGATGGTTCCTCAAACTGCGTGTGGCGAGGTTTTCCCACTGCCTTATCAATCTTTGAAGAGGGAGTGACTCAAGCTCCCAAATAGCACAGATCTGCATTAAAAATGGATTGGGTAGAATGCACTCATCGAGTGCAGCCTCGGCACTACGAATGTCTTTTCCCGCCGCTCGTACGTGTTGGTGCTCATCCGCTCGGATCCGATCAAATGTTCAGGGAACATGGATTGTCAATTTAACCCATGTGCCACTCAGCTGCGTCCTACACTAAAATGAAGAAAAGAAACTGAGGTCAAGATTGCATGGGTATGACAACACACATCTTGCCGGCAGCTGACTTGAAAACCACACTCCGATTATTTATTAATTATTGACAAACCACTTCGGGTGGGCATCCCTCTTTATTACTGCTTTCTTCCCTTGATCGAACAAATCTCCCTTTCCCTAGCAGTTCCCTCTCCCTTTTCCTCATTCCTTGTTATCTTCATCCTCGCTTCCCCACTGGCGGGCTTTTTTCACCAGGCCGCAAGAGCTCCACAGCTCATGTTTTAATTACAGTACACTAAATCACAATGGACAGGAGAAAGTAGAGCATACAGTAATTATCCCTTCCTGCCTTTTCCCCACACACTTTTAACACATCCACTCTGTTTTCCCTCTTAGTCATATTTAACCGTGGCTGGCAAAAAGCGTCCATGTTGAAAAAATACAGCAAAACACGGGGTCACCAGCTATACAAGAGACGATGCGATGTGAGGATGTGTCTAGGTGATATCGCAGTAACTTACTTCTAGTTTGGGTATGAACTGGGCCTTGCATATTTGATTTCTGCTCATCTTCTGGCTGCAGCTTTTCTCTTAAGAACATGTCAGCTGATGCATTTAAGGGCCTAAAAATACTCTTCAAGAGCCAGGCTCAAAAATAGACTTGTAGTCAGAGTCTGAGCGCACAAATCAAAGCGAAACACAATGCAAGGAATGTCCCAACTCAGAACCCAAGAGTTGTTGTAAGCAGTGTTTGAGCCGAATTATTTACCAGTTTTTCGATGTAATTTGAAAGGGACTTCACATGCTGATTGCTATGGGATAAAATCAATGTCATTTCCGCAAATTACCACAGATTGACTAGATTAACGCCATAGCCTGGATGTGCTTGTCAGCAATATGCCACAGAGGCACATTCAATAACAGTAACAACACACCCTTGTCTACTTTACTTCACAACTTGGAACTGCATTAAAGCTATAATATACAAGGGAGCAAGGAGAGAAGATGAGTTTTTCACTAGATCCCAGCTCTAGGCTAATATCGAAGCTAATTAGCTAGTTAAGCAAGTGATTAAAATCCATTATTAAAAAATATATAAAAGTGACAAATTTTGTGAATAATTTCTTTGTCTGACTTACATTTCAGCTTTACAGTGAGAACTGTTTTATTGCTCTTCTTTCATGTTTCTAGCTGGCACCCTTAGTTAAGTTAGAGTTAGGAGTCTTGCCCAAGAACTCATGGGCATGGCATAGGGTGCTTACCCAGGCAAGGGATTGTTTTTAAACCATTTAAAGTCAATCTGAACTTAAAATGGCACAATTCAGCATATTGTCATGTTTAAAAGACAGAATTCTTGTTTTCTCATAATCTAAAACAATTTTAACCAGTAATATAATGTTTCCCCTCCCCTTCCTACCTGCACCAGTAGTCGAGCGGGAATACATCATCGTATGGAAGAAAAATGTGTTAGAACTTCTGATTCACGTTGACTTTTAAGTAATTTTTTTTTATAATCAGTTATAATCAGTTTAGTCTGCCATTTTTTCAGATATGGAAAAGAAAATTGCATCAGATCACAATGATTTCTGGGCAAGTTCTGCATTTATGTTGCCTCATTCCCTCTAACGAACTTCACTTGAGTTAATACAGTAATGGCCTGTAAGTAAATTGGGGCTAAATGTTAAAAGCAATATTGAGACAGAAGGCGACTTTTCTAATTACATTATGGTAAGGTCTATTAGAAAAAGACTACTATTGCTGAGGGATTCAGCGAAATACAGAAGGCAATCTGCTTTGGAATTATTACTGTGTAAAAAACTATGGCCATTGTTTTTCTGGATGCTGCTGGATTAAAATCATGGATCTCATCGGTAATCACTTAAATTATAATTTCTCTTCAACCAATCCAGGTCAAATAGGGCTTAATCCAGCTCGAGCAGAGCTAAAGTCCTGTTTTTCATTGTTTTTTCCAGCTCTGAGCTGAGCTAAGCTGAACCAGGCTGTGAAATGAGGGCCTTGAGTTGCTGTGGAGCCTCGGAGCCCACTTTACGCCTCCGCGGGCTCCCACTCGCGCTGACACGTCCCAGGGACGCGGGTGGGGGCGGGAGAGAGAGAGTTATGAAATATGAATCTCACTCACTCCGTCTCCCGTAGCAACCAGAAAGGCAGAGCTGCTTGTGCTTTCTCGGTCCTGTATGTGTGTCTCTCTCCGGGCTGGTCGGCTTTAATCTCTGCTTTTTTCGCGCTCTACTACTGTAAAACGTGCTTTAATTGAGAGACGTGTATGAGGGGGGTCGCCATCAGCAAGCCACCCACTCCTACGCTGGCTTTTATGTGGCGGGATGATGAAATTATTATTATATTCAGTGACGGCTGGAGTAAGCCGCACACGTCTAGGCATCTATCAATCTTGCTCACTCTCTCTCTCAGTGAAAATAAAACAAAACTTTGCTTTGTGCCTTTCATACAATAAGATGGAACTAAAGCCACTCTGCAAAAAAACGACAAACAAGACACGGGTAACAGAAATAATAAAGGATGCAATAAGAGTAATAATAAGCCTTATCAAAAGAAACAATAAGAGACAGGCCTCAATAGACACAGTGTCTTACCAAAAGAAACAATAAAGGCTACAGTAAATACAATAAGGAACAATGGAAGATATAATACATAACCCGCAGTCAGAGTGATAAGGAGAAATAAGAAGGGTCCAATAAACTTCAGCTAGTGGAACGTGGCTGATTCCCAAGCGTTCACCACTTTTCCTATCTTATATTTTTCTTCATGCCAAGTTCAGCGAGCTACGCCAGCGCTAGAATATTTAAAAACCCAATTTGGAACATGATCTGTTATGACACTTCCAACAGAATTATATGTTCAAGTGCTAAACAGTAGAGCTTTAAAAACCAATGCTATAACAGATGCTCTGCACTTTTAAAAAATAAGTTCTTTGGGGATGCTTTAGT